TTGGGTTTTAAAAATTCTCTACTTGGTTTCCTTTTCCTTTTCAAGAAATTCTACTAGCTAGTACAAATTACTTAAGATATAAGCAGGCCCCTCTGATAAAATATTAATACTTTACAACTAGACACACTTCTCACTCCTGAGTATACATCAGGCGTTTCCCATCCATCTCTGGAGGCCCCCCACCCACACCCTAAGGCAGCCCCAGATCTGAAGTAGACACACTGGGAGTGGGTGGGAGGTGCACCTGCAGCCGCATGCTGAAGCTTCCAGAAAAGTATTCTCTTTTCTATGGAATGAGCAGTTGGAAGGAAGATGGGATCCTGGAAATGCGGGAGATTTCAGCCTCCAGGTGGAGAGAGCTTGCTTGAGAACAATGCCCATGTCCTGGAGAGCAGGGCTGAAACCTGCAGATGGTCTTCGTTTTGCTGTGGATCCTCTGGCTCCAGGACATTCATGGGACTCCCGGTCAAGTCTCTCTTACTGTACAAGCATAGTTAACCTGCTTTCTGTTTCTATTAAAAAAAACTTCACTAATGCACCCTTTCATTAAAATATCAACTGAATACTCAGTGTCTTCTAACTTTAGTGAAGTCAATTCTCTGAACAAAGTATACAGTTGTCATAATTTCTAAACAACCTATGAAGCTGGGTATAGTGGCAAATGCCCGTAATCCCAGCCCTCGGCAGGCTGAGGCAGGGGGATTGTTACGACAGTGAGGCTGGCCCAGGCTACACAGTGAGTTCAATGGAGGCTTGAACTACATAGCAAGGCCTTACCTCAAAAAAGCAACCAAACACCCAAAAAACTAAAGATCAACCAACCAACCGATGAGCAAACAGGGCACATACAAGGGGATTATCTGTGTTTTGGAGTCTGAAAGATGTGCTAGCTTAGTCATGACCAACCAATACCACAGATGAAGCACATCTCTTGTTCATTATCTAGTTGTGTGACCCTGAACCTTCTTTTTCCCTCTAATAAACGGAAGATAATATCACTTTCTTCAGATAGTAAAGATGTGCAGTATATTGTTACCCATGATGGTACTGCCCCATAATAAGTGCCTCATGGAGGCAATTTCTCCTTTACCTTTTCATTCTGAGCTTCTCTTTACTCAGTGAATTAAAAAAGGAAACTGGGCTGGGTGGTGCACATCTGTAATCCCAGCACTCTCCGTGTTCCAACTCAAAAGGCTCCTGCTCTACCAATCCTGTCTGGCTTGAATAATTCAGCGGCTCAGTTCTGTATACTGACGCGACAGTTAGTGGTTGATTTCATGTGCTGCTGGTTGATTCTGTCACGGCAACCATGACTTGCTGTTATGGTGGATGAAAACACACCTGGTTGTGTGTCTATGGTTACCACTCAGGTACACAAAGCCTGCTCCTAAGCTCAGCTTGGGCACATCTGCCACATTTACTGCCTGGACCCTCAGTGCAACACGGCTTAGTGTTCAAATCCCGGCTCTGCCCTTGCCAGCTGTGTGACTTTGGAAATCTTAGTCTCTTCATGTGTAAATGGGGCTACCAGTACCGTCTTGATAAGGTTATAATGAAGACTGAATGTGGAACAGCTCCCAGCACAAAGAGCTCAGTACTTGTTGATTGATGCTGATGCTCAGGGACCAGTGGACACAGGCTAGGCGCAGAGTTGGGTCCTGGACATATCATCGCTGGCATTTGCTGGCAGCAAATGGCTCCAAGTATCCCCTAATCTGATCTGTCTCGTCTTTTGTGTGTGAATCCTATTATATAAGCAATGGTCTCTTAAAACAGAACTTACTAGTTGATAAAATCACAGTCTGTGAGACTCTTTTGTCCTGGATATTGCTTGAAGGAAGAGGGGTATTAAATTTGAAAAATAGGTTAGATCATAGTGGGACCTAACCTATGTGTAACAGGTAGTTACCACATCATCAAAAGAACTTTAGATTTTGGCCTACACTGCAATTCGTCAATTTCATTCTTGCCTGTCACTGAAGTCCTGTGCAGGACTTCTGTCATATGTAATATAATCAGTCATTATAATTGCTAAGTTTTATAAACGGAAATAAAGAATGCCTACCTAAACCTTTTTTCCAAGGTACTCAACAGGCAGAAGGAAGCATTCCCCAGGTATTCTCTGTTTATGAATTTTTTTTTTTTTTTTTTTTGGAACTGGGAATTGAACTCAGGACCTTGAGCTTGCCAGGCAGGCACTGGGCCACTAAGCTATATCCCCAGCCCTTGTTTATGAATTCTTAAGGAAGAAACTATAATCTTTGATAATGAGAGAAATTAACATGTTCTGAGATTGAATTTAAAAATATCTAGATCTTTTAAAAATGCCTTCACAATGGATCAAGTAATTGCAGGCATTGTTTCCTTAGAAAATAAACTTGTAATTTCATGTAGAGGAAAAAGAGTCACAAAAATCAAATCCAAGATTCTTAAATATAATGAGTCTGATGCATAAACCATATTTATATGAATGTAATGTTAATAACATTTATTAAAGAAAACCACATAACTTCTACTCCAGATTCCAGGGAAATGAAGCCCAACCTGTGCGGTGTGGTGTGGGTACAGGAAAGTACACATTTCTGAGGCAGCAGGGACTTGGTTCCATTGCTTGATGAGGGGCCTTCTGTGATTTAACTCCCTTCAAACTTAGATCCCTTATCTATAAAATGGGGCTAACAACGGTGCATTCCTCAAAAGGTGATCTGTAGATCAAGTGTAAAGTACTTAAGCACAGGAGTTGAAATACAGGAAGAACTCAGAACACATGAACTACTTAACTGTTATGAAGAAATACAACCTCCCAAACCAGTGAACATCAAGGCAGACTTATATTACACTATGGTTAAAAACAGGGAGCTTTTCCCAGGAGTAAGTTGATAAACAATTTAAAAATCTGATCTCTTTCCCTAGCCCAAGAAGCTGGCAGCAGACCATTCCTCCCTTTCTGTGACAACTCATGAGCAGGAGGGACGTGGAGTCTTCCTGCCAGAACCGCAGGTGAATCCCTTTAGGTTGCCAGGTGTCAGACTTGTCAACTCTGGGACGCTCAAGCACTCGGCAAGTTCTGCTGGAATTCATCAACTCATGTGAAAATGTCATTTAGGCTACATGTCCTTTTCCACAAAAGGATGTTAAGTAAGACTGAAAAAGAACAAAGATAGTGTACACCTTTTTATGGAAAAAAGGGAAGAGAGGAAGGTGTCTTTCCACACACTCTCCTGTGCTGGCAGTTTACAAAGATGACAAAGGTGGACTTGTGGTTTGTTCTCATCGGTATGTAAAGCCACTAGACAGTGTTTCTGTGAGACCCCGGTGGGTAGCAGCAGATGGGAAAAAGGGACAGAAGGGGCCGTCTTACTTCCCACAGAGAGAAGGGAAGACAGTGTTCTTTGGGTGGGAAGAAGTAATTGTTGAACCCCAATATGAGAATAAATGAAGCACAATTTCGTCAAAAAAATCAGCATGCAGGTTTGATGATGCTTTCTTTTTTTTAAATAGCACTCTGGGTAATTTATCAGTCCCATTTAAAAAAGGACCATATGGGTAGAAGTGCTTACTTTTTGTATACCACATGTTCTCAATTATTCTTGGGCCACTATTTCCCTTGTGTGCAAGTAATGATGTCGAGGAAATATGTGGTGCTAGCCCTTGCTAGCCTGGCTTCCCTGAACCCACACTTATGGGCCAGGGCAGCATGCTGACACCCACCAAGTGCAGACTGACAGTGGACTGCCCACCGTTACCTTGGTTCTGTGCCCTGCATGCTCTGAAAACCTCTGTCTAAAGGCCCTCCACAGCTCCGGGGTGTCTAGGGGCATGGGCCAGGGGATGGATCGGTGGCAAGTACAGGCAGTGGCGTCAGGGACAGAAGGATCATCCTAACAGATTAACAGTAGCAGCAGCAGCTGCAGCCACTTGCTCCTTTCTCGCCCTGTGCAGGCTGAGAGTGGACCCTTCTCAGATGCAGAAGGTTGGGGTACAGAGACAGTAGAGAGCCTGGCTTTGGCTACCGAGCTGGCGGGTGGAAGAGCTGGGAGTCAAACATCGCCTGCCTGACCCCAGGTACACTCTCACCCTTGCTGCCTGTCCAGTTCCCTGGGCAGTTGTGCAGCTCCACATGGCCACGGATGCCACTGTCCTGATAGGCTGGGTCCTGCTCCAGAGAGGCCCTGATGACGGAGAGGCTCGCCAAGCACTGTTTGGAATCTGGTGCTGCCACTATGTCCTGAAAATTCAAGGATGGGAGCATCAAACCTTGGGTTCTTTACCTGACTCTGACTGTGGGGCATCTGCTTGGGGCTGGCCCTACTATGAGAGTGGCTTCAGCGGCCAGCATCGGGTCCCTCCTCGGTCTTCACTGCAGCCAAGCTCTGGTGATGAGGGTGTGGACACTGGTACCTATATAGAGGCGAGGGCCAGAAAAGCCTTACTTTTCTTACCTGTGAAATGAAGTGGCTAAACTGATTGTGGTTTTTATACTTTTTTTTTTTTTAAAGCAGAACAAATCCCAAATAATTCCATCCTTGATGGAACCCCAACATGTAAAGTGAAGCGTCTCGGTTGGAATGTGGGAGGAGGCCCTGCAGCCCTGTCTCCTAGCCTCCGGTGTCAGCCAGGCTCCCCCTGCCGGACTCCCACCAAGCGCAGAAGCAGCTCACCAGCCTCAGGCATGGAGCCCAGCAATATCCGCAGACTCAGGTCTCGTGGCCCCCCCAAGGCACACCCAGCATGCAAGAAAGGGCAGGAGTGAGAGCAAAAGATCGCATTCTTTCTCTGAAGAGCTCCTGTTTGGATGAAGGGCACCTTTGGGATGGAGAGGGAGAAAGTAACAAGTGCAGAGTCAGCTTCAATTCAGAACAGCTGACACCACTGTGTGCGTCCACGCCGCTAGGAGAATAATTTCACATCTACATACTTACATTTTTTTTAATGTCGTGAAGTTTAATTGCTTTCTTTCCAAAGCATATAAATGTGAGTCAAGAAAATAGCACTTTTTCAGTAGGAATATCAATAATGACCATTAAAAGTCTAACTAACACCCATGTTCACAAGAGCAATCTTTGCAAAACATTTTATGGAAGTGCAAGAAAGTCTTTAAGTGAAGAGGTACAAACCACAACAGTCAGGGCCTGGGGGCCAACATGTTATGCTCAGGCTTCACAGGGCTTTAGGAGTCTCAGGAGGGTACCCACATATTCCCGTGTGTATCTGGTGCTTTGATGTAAGGAATGTTCCAAATCCATGGCCGATCTGGGGAAAGAACACATCGGATATATATTTGAACAGGAGCACAGGAAAATCATTGACTGATGGGATAAAAGCACATGCCTGCTAAATCTCCAACCTGTAAGGAATGCATTCTGAATGAGCCCCAGAGGATACTCCCTGCAGACAATGCAAAGGTCACGTTAGGACACAGGGCTGCGCATGAGGAGAGAGGCAGGGAGGCTGGCAGAAGGACCCCCGAGCGAATCTTGGCCCTGCTCCCGTGCTGAGTCACACTGTAAGTCACTTCACCAAGCCAAACCCAGTTCCCTCACCTGCACCTCTGTTGTGGACCTATCATGAGGAATAAATGAGACAAATCATGGCCCATGGAGGACACAGAATCTGACATATGGCAAAGGCACAGCCCACCCCAGCTGTTTCTGTTTCTTTCAGGAAGCCACAAAGAACAATGGGAACCGGTTCAGTTTTCATTGATGTTGCTAAAGGTTCACAACTGCTGAGACATGGAGTCTCTGTTACGGGGTTACAGACCCGTGTCAGCACGCCTGGCACGGTACACTAGAGAGAACACTGAGGACCTGTGCCAAATGCCACTTCCATCCCGCCCAGTACCTTACTGAAGGCATTGGGATTTGGTCGCAGATTCCTCCTGTGAAACTGTTACATTACCAACTGTCAGGGATTACTATGAAGCTAAATGAGAATATCTTTCAAAGTTCCTGGCATGTTGCAGGCACTCGATAAACAGGAATTTTTCTTCTTTCAACTGATTTTTTTCAGAAATTGAAAATAACTTCAACAAATCACTCTTGCCACGCATCACTACTGCTAGAGTCACAGGATTTCAAAAGAGCTATAATAGCATGGGTAGGGTATAAATATATCACAAGGATTAAAAATAAATCCCAAACTTGGAAGGGTTGCAGTGCTTATTGTAAACTGCCACTTCCCCAAGACTAAAAGAGACTGCCAGGCTACCGCAGTGGACTGCAACATCACCTTTCTCCTCCACAGAGGGGATGGCAGCTCAGGGGACAGCTTGGCAAATAATGGTATCTGTTACCCTCTCCTCGCAGCAGCCTTGCTGATTGTGTTCAATAATCTCAGAGCAATCATGCAAACAGCAGCACCCAGCAGGATGTGCAAGCAAAGAATTCCAAAGATGGCAACAAATTATCAGAACATTGTTGCCTGCCTTTGGCCTTGGTGGAGTTGTAAAGCCGAAACCAAACTCTCTTTGTTAACTTAACAAGCTTGTTGGAGAGTAGTAAGCCTGCTTTATGTATCTGCTTCATAAGAGGTTGAAGGACTGGCAGGTGATGGATGAGGGCCCAACTCCCTACTGCTTAACCGAACTCCCTTAACCAAACCTGCATTCTCTCCTATTTGAGACACATCTTCTGTGCCAGGGCCTCTATTATTTACCAATCTTATTGCTCTGTGGGGCAACATCAGCTCTGCTTTTTCCTAAGGCAGAGGAAATGAAGTAGTTAATAGTGATGCTCTTCACAGTAATGCAGGATTTGTGATGCAGACATTTACTAACCAGCAACATCAAGATCACCACTCCAGGTACTCTTTTTTCCTCAAAATTAGGCAATAATGACCAAGCAAGGGTCTGATAACCGCCTTGTTCACAAATCTCCCACAGCTCTGCTTTATAAATGAGCAGCATGTCTGCACACTGATCATCCATTATGCTGGCTGACAGGTCCTTACAAACTAGAAGGAAAGACAGAAAAACTGCCACAGGGAGAGGAGGGTGGCTGGGATTCTGCTTGTTTTTACCCTCTGTTACTGGAAATTGGCATTAAAAGTAGTTTAGAGGAAACTTACTTTAAACAATCCTCCTGAATTGTCCCATGAGAGAATAACTGACCTTATAATATACTTATGCATACTTAACTGCTAGCTAGATGCCTGGGACTTTGCTAGGTGCAGAGGACAGAGGAGGAGAAAAGCCAGACATGCAAGCCTTGTGTAGCTTATAGCCCAGATGAGCAGGATGCCACAGGGATGGAGTTCTGATAGTCACTGTGTCTGTGGTACCCTAACCTGGCCCACTTGTCAGGGTAAGTGCATTTCAGAGGACTCATACCAGGGTGGGCCTGGCAACGTGCAGTTGTACCAAATTCCAAAGATGATCTGGCTGCAGTCAGAGTTTGGGATGCAAGCTGAAGGCATTGGGATGCTATTTTGTTTCCCTGGAATATTAATGATAAGATTATAAACAGGAGAGGAACATGAGCAGGTGTGTGTGGCAGCTTCCAGTGGGAGGAAAGAGACCATGAAGAGGAACAAGGGGCAAGGTCTGGTGAGAAATGAGTAGGCCTAGGTCAAGACTGTAGCCAGAAGGCTGGGAATGACAGCCTGTGAGGCTTTTGTATCTTTTTCTCTATCCCATCTCCCTAGGGCTGGACTGTGCGGATCTTATGCCTTCTGGCTACAAACTCCAGAACTCAGTGCTTGCACAGGGAGCTCTCAGGGTAATGGTAGAGGGTGTGGAGGCTGGGGCTGCCTGCCTGTGAGACCTTACCAAGTTAACCTGAGTGTTCTAGGCTCCTCATCTGGAACTGGGGGTGGCACTACAGTATAGCATGCAGTTGTGAGGATGCCATGAAATAATTCATGTCATATGCTCATGTTGGCTCCTGGTGCAGAAATAGTGCTTAGTGAAGTGCTAAGTGCTGTTATAATGACTGCTATCTCAATTCACAGGGGCTGAGGACTGTCATTATCCTATATATTGGGGCTGGGGATTTAGCTCAGCGGGAAAGCGTCTGCCTGGCAAGTGCAAGGTCGTGAGTTTGGTTCCCAGTACCAGAGAAAAACCAAAAAATAAAAAATTAAAAAAAAAAAAATATCCTGTACATTGTAGGTTCTCAGGGTTTTTTAACAATCAGGTACATTTTAAAAATTGGCAATTTTGTTTTATAAGAAGTCTTCTTGAAAAAATACTATTCCTATTAGCATAATGGATTTGCTTGTATACAAGTTGAGGAGAGACAACTTGGGCCTGTCTGTTCACCAAAATACACCCAAGCACCCACACAGCGCCCGCATGCGTAGGCTCTCAGTAAGAATCTGTGGAGAGAATGGATAAACAGCAACTATTGCATGAAGCAAGGAATCTGGGCAGCTCTGTTTTAGTTTTTACTTCACTTCATTTGATCGTTTTTTTGATTTCAAGATATCGTGCCCTAACTTTTCATGGCAGGTGTTTTTGTTTTGCATTGTTTCGCAGGAGTAGTAGCCATTGTAATAAGAACAATTATGTGATTCTGAGTTAGACACAGTATCAAGCACATTACAGATACTATCTCAGTTACTTTTTCAGCAACCTGTAAGGTAGGCACTCACATTTACTCATTTTGCAGCGAGAGATACAAAGGCCTAGAAAAGTAACTGCTCAAAGCTACTTAGGAAGTTGTAGGGCTGGCACATGACCATGGCCTGGCTTTAAAGCATGGTTTTTCTCTTTAATTTTTTGGTGGCAAGTAGGCTGATCACAGATTCCTTGAAATTATGATAAAATCTATATAACCTTGCTAATGGAAATCTTCAGGAACATACAACAAACTTGGTGGACTCGACAGACCACAGCTGCTTTGGGAAGAGTAGAAGAAGAATGCTTCAGAAGCTTACTATCAACACAAATGATCAGAGAGGTCCAAGGTCACCTGCAGGGCAGGACGACATGCTGACAGCAGGAGACAGGACTGGTTTTGACAGATGATCTAAGAATTGACAGATGATCTAAGAATTAATATGATCTAAGAAGTGAGGCCCCAGGGGTGGGATAGTGGGGAGGTTACCAGGGGCCAGGCAGCACCATGTGGGAAAGAGGGCTGGCTTTCCTGAGGGAATAGTTTGGAATATTAATGGAGTGATGCCATTACAACTTTCTAATCAAAAAAGTTGTCCCTGTTTAGATCTAGTACTTGCACAGAAAACCTGCAGATTAGAATTTTGCTACTTATGTGGATCTCTAGCCTCCAAGGGAGAATATGCTGGCTCCGGTGATACATTTAGCACTAGCCACTGTGAATTATTAATTGTGTCCTAATGGCAGACCTCGTCTGTGTGAATATGGATGGCCTGGCCATCTGTGAGGCTGGACCGCACCTAGGGCAGATGTGGGGAGGGGTGGGGTGGGATGCAGGTGAAAGCAGCTGGCTCGAGGACGGCGGACCTGCCTTGGATATTCCTAGGGATTTTCTATGGTGAAACATACTTGATCTCTGTCCTTAGGAAATTCGTAGTTTAGTGCTGCAGTTTTCAAAGAGTGGCATGAGGACCTCACTAAGCCATTATTTGCTGTGTTCACTGTCACATCCACACTGGTGTGCAGAGGTGGGTGATGCAATACACCAACAGAACTGAGAGCAGCGGTGACAGTTCAGCAGCCTCTCAGGATGCACAAGAGAGGCTTGCGAAAACATTAAATAATGAACACTTTGCTTACTAATTTTTCTTCTAATTTTAGAAATAGTTATAAAAATGTTACAATGGATTTACTATTTTTTACATTTTGGCTGTACTGGGGATTGGATCCTGGACCTTCACACTGAGCTACAATCCCAGCCTTTTAAAAAACCTTTTTTTTGAGACAGGGTCTCACTAAGTCACTAAGTTATATTGGGTTTGAATTTGTGATTGTCCTGCCTCAGCCTCCCATAGTGCTGGGATTACAGGCCTGTACCACCATGCTTGGCCCAAACTAATAAGTCAATAAATAAAGATTTCTTGGTTTAAATTTTTAATATAGTAAACACGAACAGATATGAAGCTTCATGTGACTAAAAGCTCTTCATGCTTCTCAATAATTGTAAGACTGTAAAAGGGTTTCAAGACCAACCAGTTTGAGGGCTACAGATCCAGTGGCCCAGACAGAATGCTGCACACCTGATCCTCAAAGGTTCCATGAACCAGACTCCCACTGAGAAACCAACAGCATCTCTTGGGCTCTGTTTTCTTCTAACACAACACACCCATGCATGGTTCTCTGCGTCTGTGTCTCACCTTTACTCCCATACAGTTCCGGGGGCAGATCGTATGGCACGGGGAAGGCGGGGGTGGGATCCTGGCTGCCAGAGAAGAATTTCTGCTTCACTTTGAAGCTGTCCAGGCCCTGTAGACACACAGCAGGAATCCATGATTGCATTTCACTTTCTAAAAACAACCAGAAGATCCCAAGGAAGAATGACATCCTTTTCACACACACACACACACACACACACACACACAAATCCAAGTGATTTGAGAGCTATTTTCAATGTCTGATAGGCAAATATGTTTGTAGTTCTCCCAAACTATTATCTTTCCTAAAAATAAGAGGCTTACATTTCAGGAATTAAAAACTTTCAAGAGTTTAACAAAAGATGCGAGAGAATCAAAAGGAAGAGTTTTGGGGGTTACAGCCCATTCTACTAAATGCTCTGTACAGTTGGCAGGGAGGCTGTAGAATTCACTGTATAAAAATACCTCAAAATACTTTCAATATTGCTATAGTAACTGGCTGTCAGCTCAGTAGTAAGAAGTAAAAGTTGTTCTCATGTATAATAAAAGTGTTCCAGTAGGAATATAAAAATGAAAAATTTTCAATAACTACTAAGTGGAAGGCTTATTCCACCACCTCCCAAGCAGGGTGCTAACCTCAGGTGTGCACCAGAGTGGAGGTGGAGGTGGCCCTTACCCGGGCTGATGTGCACACTGCCTTTCCTTCTTTCCTGGGGCCTGCACAGTGCAGATGCTTAATATATTTGTGCTGTCCCCCAGGCCTCCACACATGGGCATCGTCTGGGGCTTCTTGGCTTACCCCGGCACTCTGCTTTTTAGTCTGTCCAACTGTCTCTCACACCTCGGCCCACTGTTCAAACACAAGCCCATCTCTCATATCCTAAATAACCTCATACCAAGCAGTGCTAATGTCTTGGGCAGGAGGAAACAAATGAGCAAAAGGGTTCTTGGTCTCTGTGGCCATGTAATTTAGGGGACTTTGGCCATAGGTGCAGCATAGGTGGACATGGCAAGAGTCACTCTGACCTTGGCCGCTGAAGATCTAAGTCCTGGCCTATGCTCTGAGGCTTAACAAGTTGTGTGCATGGCTGATGTTAGCATTCATTCATTCACTGGGGAGCTAAAAGGATGGAAGAGCCCGAGTCTAAGCTTATCACACCTGTTTCTTGTCAGTGTGTAATCTGCTCTTTACTAACCCTCTGTGATGGTGGGCTTATTTGTTCAACGGGACACTGAAAGAGAAGGTGCTGACCATACCTTCTTCCTAGTTGAAAGTGGAATACAGTGGAAGCAGCGTTGTGAAAAGCAGCAGCCCCCCAACCATGTTAGATGTCCAGCCTGCCCAGATTAGAATGCTAGGATCTCACAGAAGACAGGAAATGTGAACACACGACAAGCTCCGCTTCTGGCCGGCCCCTCACTCCTCCACAGGTGGTTCCTTCTTGGGTAGCCCAAGATCTCACACACACCCACATACTTTGACCTAGGAGAATTTGGGAACTCTGGTTGCTAGATGCCCAAGTTTCTGATTTGCTCAATGCAACAAAGCTCCTTTCTCTTTGACTGGAACTACTGTCCTGGGGTCCCTGCTGACACGAGGCTAATGAAGTCCCCTGCTAGGTGAGGCATGTGACATACAGGAGCCATCATTATCCCTGTCCTCATGGAGTGTACAGTCTGGGGAGAAACATCACGCAAGCATGTTTGTAAAAGATAAAACAATCACAATCTGTAGCAAGTGCTGTGGGAACATCCAGGAGTAAGGAGAAAACAAAGGGGCTTTGGCAGTGGGATTTGCGGCAGGGGGCAGGTCAGAGGATGGTCAGCTGGACCCTCCCTAAGACAGGGGACACTCATTAAACTCTGGGAGAGGAGGAGAACTTGAAGTGGGAGTGGGGAGAATAATGTTCCAGGTGGAGGGAACAGCAGGGGCCAGGGTGGCTGAGAGCTTTGCATGCTCCAGGAGCTAGAAGAGATGATCAGTGGGAGCTGGTATGTGCTGGTCTCAATATACTCATTTATGATGTGGAACGTGAAAGCTCCTGGTGGTCATCATGCTGATGTTTCTAACCTCAGCGCCCAGCACAAGCCCTGGTGCCCAGTAGGTTTGTAAGACACACTGAGCTGCAGATCAGGGCGGCAGCACCTCCTCTCCTCTGTTGGCTTCTGCATGCAAACAAATGAAATACATGGGGGACACTGGCTCGTGCATGTTAAGACCCAGAGAAAGTGGGGCTGCAGCATCTCTAATGGAGATGCGGATTAAAATACAGAGAAGGGGCTGGGGATTTAACTCAGCGGCAAAGCACCTGCCTTGCAAGTGCAAGGTCGTGAGTTCAGTTCCTGGTACCGGAGAAAAACTAAAAAACTTAAAAAAAAAAAAAAAATACAGAGAAAGGTGGTCTGTCAAGTATGCCTGGCACAAATGCCAGACATAAAAGGAAGAATGACCTATTTCCAGTAGCAGGATAAGCAAAGGCTTTGTAGAAAATAGTATTTTAGCTGCGCTTTGAAAAACTGGTGTAATTTTGGTAAACAGAGGGATGATAGAGAAGAACATCAGATAAAGGGGCAGCATAATCCAGGGCAGAACTAGAAAAGCACACAGCAGGCACATCTGGGGGTGGAGGGTCGGAACATTGAGAGAGACTCAGGCTGGAGAGGTTTTGAATGGAAGGCGGCATGGACATTTGTGGCTGGTACTTATTAAACCAGTTATTCCCTGGCTGTGGGACTCAGGATGGCACATGAGTTGTCTTACTATGGGGACTCTCACACCCACCAAGTGGAGGACACCAGAACCCTGAGGGTATGGCCCTGAGAAGGAACTGCTGGATTCAAGCCCTGCCTGAAGGAAGGGACTCGTCTTCTTTGTATGCTTTGTTGCTTACATTTGTTTGGGTTGAATTTCCGTCACTTACAACCCATGGGACCCTGGTGAAGGAGTGGCCTTTACTTCAACAGACAGTGAGAAGTTGAAGGAGGCTTCAGAAGATAAATGCCCCAGAATGAAGGCAGACTGCAGCAGCCTGGACAGTGACAGGCAGGGACTCCCTAGAGCAGGAGACCAAGAGTCACTGCCGTATGAGGACAGACAAGGGTAACAGGTGACTGCAGGATTAGTATTGCAAAAAGTTTAGACACAAAGCAAAGTGACTCTGGACAAAAGGTATCCATGGAAAGAAAGAAATGAATTGGAAAGAGACTGAAAGAAAATAAAAATCAGGGACACGTGAGGGTAGGGAAGAGGAGGGAGACCTTGGGCTGGGAGACCAAGGACTCCAGGAGGCTTTGAGCCTGGTTAAGGAAGGTCATCACAGTCTGCTCCCTGCCCCCTACTTTTTCCACTTGGCCAGGGGCTACTCATCAACTCCTCAGAGGCAGGACTGGGTCCTTCTTCACATCATACCTTTGACACTTTCTAGAGCTGAGGAAATTCTTCATAATCCCTTACTTCGGTAGATGACTTACTTGCTGTGGGACTCTAGGCAAGTACTTCACTTTTCCAGGCCTTGGCTTATCAAATGAAGATAATGATGGCATCTAATTTGTAAGGACATGTTATTTAGAACAGTGATTGGCAGGTAATGAGTATGCCAGGAAATAAACTAGTCTAACTGTAAATATATTCCTGTTTTACAGATAAGGAGCCAAATCTAGAGCTTAAATAGTTGTGCAAGGCCACACAGCCACACAGCTATTTAAGCAGCAAGGCTACACACGGAACCCTGTCGTTCTGATTCTTGGTCCTATGCTGCTTCCACTAAGCTCCCACACGTGGTCTTCCATTCGGCACAGAAACTGTCACAGTGAAAGAAGTCCTTGCAAATCAAGAGTCAGCACTAAGATAGGCCCACACCAGGATGAGCCAACTCTGGAAATTCTGGTAGAAGCGGCCAGAGGTTGAGAATTGGGGCCAATTTAGTGATCATTAAATACTTTATGGAGTTCCGATAAAAAAAAATTACATTCCTCTTCTCCTAGCTTACTTGTTACTTGTATCTGTATCGCGGCAATGGAAGGGTTTTCACGGCCTGGACCAGATCCTGTGCCCTACATGTTTTGAACCACGATTCCATTTTGTGGAGTCTGACCTCAGATACAAGAGTCTGACAGGAAGCAACATGCTTTCTTCTAAAATGCCACTTTTGATCCAAATTCTAGGGTGTTTTGCCAAAAAAAAAAAAAAAAAGTACCACTTTTCCCTTCAATCTGGATGTCAAATAATTTGAGGCTGTCTTCTAATTATCATTATTTATATATCACAGTGGTATTGTGTGGCATTTTATAAAACAGTGGAAGGCACCCTCCCAGGCACAGATACTGAAAAGACAGCCACGATAATACATTTATAAAACGCCAGGTGAGAGGGTGGACACATATCACACAGGAGAAATTGCTGGCTTTTCCCTTCGACAGCTTTGGGAGGGAAAGTGCTGGTTATCATTCCGTTTGGCCGCTCGGTTCCATCCCAGGGAGCAAGAGGCCTGCCCAGATTTCAGCTAGAGATGCTGCTTGTTTTGCTGACCACACATGTCTGAGCAGCAACAGTGACGGGGACAACCTACACACAACCCTGCACAAAGGGATCAGATTTTCTGGGTCAAACTGACAGTCATTGAGCCTCCCAGAAGGAGTACCGTTGATCAGAAATGGACTAAGCAGTGGGGAAAGGATCACAGAAAGGTGGTCTCTCCTGCCGGGCAGGCTCTGATCCCCCACGCATGTGTTTCTCAGAGGAGCACGCTCCTGCCTGGGCTCTGCAGGATGGTTCTCATGTGCAAAGCGTTGGCTGAGTGTGGTTCAGGAGGATGAGAAGCAACAGCACCACAACATCTAGGAAGTGACGGCAAGATTCTGATTTGACTAAAAGTCCGGGAAACAATGGCCTTCAAATTTCTGTTGGGCCATGTGCTGTACATGCTGCTGCCGATGTCTGTGTCAACCACAGCCTCCACTGAGCACGTGTTAGGTATCAGGCACTTTGTAAACCCTCTACAGAGCCTATCTCCTACTCTCACGTGATTCTAGGTTAGTTACTGTACTGTCTCCATGAGACAGCGGAGAATACCGAGACTTACCAAGTAAAATTACCCAGCTGCTAACTGGGACCTTGGCTCTGCTCTGTCTCACTTCCAAGCCCATTCTCTTTCTGTCACTGTGATTCTGTAGCTCTCAGGTCCCTGAATCTTCCAACTCTGTGCCCTGAAGAGTTCCTTTTCTTGGGTTTGCTCCATGTGTTCTCCCACATTCCGTCCCCTTCCAAGTTCTTTCAGTGTCTCTGGCTGAGACAAAGGGGCGTACCCCAGGATGACACAATTACCAACGGCCTACTGTTAATCAGCCCAAGTTTACAAACGACCAGAGCCCAGGTGTACAGGAGAGGAAGTGCTCTTGGTGGACCTTGAAGTCACACAGAGGAGTCTAGATGTTATCTTGTAGGTCGAGGGCAACCACTGACGGCTGACGGGCACAGGAATACAGACCAGTACATGTGGGCAGAGGGGACCCCTGAGATGAGGAAGGGAGGAGCCAGTGAGTCCAGGGGACAGGGAAGACAGTGACATTTGTGGCAGTGCAGATGAGATAGGGTGTGGGAACTGGGTGTGGAAGGGACAGAGGCCAGTGGTGTATCAGCGGAGGGGGAGAAGGTAAGACACTGCCAAGAAAAGGCTCAGGAAACATTGTTGCCCAGCTGCGCACTCCCAGGAGCCAGGCGATGGGCCGGCCCTGCGGCAAGTGGACAGACGTGGGATGGGGAGACAGCAAGGAGCTCAGCTGTGGGGAAGGAGGTCGGGCACAGGCTCAGCCGCGGCGCTTGGAAGTGGCTTTAGCTCTTTCCGCCGTAGCCCCCACACAAGACGAGTGCATATACCTGTACTATGTGCCATCTCTGAGAACGAAAAAGACAAAAAACAGTTTAACCAGAACAAGAAAAATAGTGTAAACAGAACAGGGAAAGCAGAGACTTGGAGACTGAGGCCAAGTAGACACCTGACTTTTGGGGATCAGACTGAAATACTTGATTCTGACCATAGAAAACTAGCGACTCTACCATCTCAACAGTAAAGGAACCGTGGGTTCCCTACTGGACATCAGCCCTTGATTCTAAGATGGCCGTGCGCACTGTTCATAGAAGCAGGAGGAGTTCTATCCACAGTGTGTGCTACATGTCCAATAAACACCAAAAGGAATGAAGTTCAAAGAGAAATACTTCTACCTCCCTGGTATATACACACAGATGCCTTAGAGTTTGATACACAGCCACGATCTTTGAAATCACTAGATCTGTCCTATGTTAAGATTTTCCACAAGTGTGCATGTCTAATTTAAAAGTTGAATACATAGGAAGAAACAATCCAGAGAACATTATAGAACTGGTAAGCTGATATCAGACCTTAAAAGAATGAAGCCTTTGACTGAAATCAGCAAGCTCTTACTAGGCACCCAGTACATGCCACGTGCTGGTCACACAAAGTCAAATGTACTTTGATATTAATCTCTAAGGCTCTTGAAAGTGTCCCAATCAAAGGGAAAACTACTGCTTCTCTAAATGCAAGTTTGGTTGATCTTGATGTGTTTATGGATTTGTTCACCTAAAAAAACAGAAACAAAAATGGGAACAGGTCATTTCTGTTACCAAAGACTTACCAGCTTCCAGGTCAACCTCAGGGGTTTTAAGAGGCATCTTTATTATGAATGGGACACGCTGGCTCTCCATCCACCTTACGTTTCTGGGCCTTAGGAAGTGTCATGTTACGTGGCTACCTGGTTGTGAGCGACAGGCCTTGGTCAGGTCCCTCTGTGACTGCCTGTGCCATTCCTGACTGCAGTGCTGGCCGCAGATCACGTTCAGGACACAGTGATCAGACAGCCCCTGGTGAAGGACAGAGGAGGTAACTCTGGGTGCTGATAGCTCAGAAATGTGGGTGGCAGAGACATGGAGTTCTGCCAGGGGCCGGAAGGGAAAGGTCTTGAGAAAGGATTCTGGATGCTGTCCAGCCTGAAGGAGGACTGTGAACTCCATGGGGCCAATCTCTTCGGCAAAGGTATAACTAGAAGCATCGAAAGCCCTGTCCTATTCATACTGAAGAGGGGAAACTTAAAGAAAGAAGTAATACCCTGTCTCACTTTACAACAAACTGCATTCCTGTCAGCACACATTTTAAGCTTAAGATCGATCGAGAACTCTACAAGGCATTTATTAAGCGAGTATCTAAAGCTTGAGAAGTCGCTGGAAGTGCCGAATGGTCAGCCTCTGAGCTGTGGAGCCAACCGGCAGCAGCGACCAGGGAGAAGGCCTGCTGCAAAGTCCTCGGAGCTGGCCCAGCCCTACCCTCCAAGTCTCAGCTGTTCAACAATTTCTTTGATTCTATGACTTTCCCCAGTATTTTTTCAATAGTTTTTTCTTTTTATGGGCTTACGTTGCTGTTGGTAGAACAACTGAAAGAACACTAAGGTCCTTTCGCCTTAGGTTATGCTCACCTGGGGCGCTCACCTGGTGTCCTCACACTCAGCTCCCTTGTCTTATTATTCATGTGCAGGGTGCGTTGCTGACATTTATGAACCACAGATCATCATGGGAGGAAGTACCCTTCTGAGTACTTTTCACAATGCCTAACTTCTGTGCCTAAGTTACCCAAGTCATTGAGGACAACTGAAGGATAACTAAGATGGGAAAATAGCTGGGGACAAGCAAGTCTGTGGGTCCTCATCAGTGTTATAGAGGAAGCTGCTATAAAGCACCATTCCCGGCTCTGTAGTTCAAGACAGGTCAGCAAGCACACGGTTGAAGAATGTGTTACCTTCTTAGTACGCTCGCTTTCTCTCCTTCTCTCTCTCTCTCTCTAACTCAGACTTCATATATTTTACTCGATACACTTAAAATGGTGAATTAGACTAAGCTATATGTTGAAAGGCTATAAGGAGTTTCTCCTTCAGATAGCCGATCGGCACATATACAAAGTCCTATTTATTGCTTTCTCTTTTCTTATTTCATTCTTTTTCCTCTTATTTCTTATTTCTCTCTTCAGTTTTCCAGATATAGAAAAAGTGAATAAAAAATATATAAATGGCCACAGAATTAGGCCAGTACCACATTGTTTTTGATACATCTATTAAAGATTTAGAATGACAGATTCAATCTCAAATGTAACTGTGAATCATCTAGCCCAGTTAAGGCTTATCTCTTGAATCTATTGGGCTAACACAAACGGGAAGGAATCCATTTTTTATTTTCTTCCCTGATGGCCTTCATAAATAAAATTTCTACTTTACCTGAGTGTGCTATGGTGGGGCTTTTCCTTTTACCAAAAATGTAGAAATAAGAGGCCTATATAAAATCAATTGCATATTCTAAGCAATTAGTCCTATTTTTCCCCTCCATTATCCTTCTCTAGTGTATACAGAATAAACATCTGAGCTAAAAATTAGCAGGCAGGAAGAACCTAGAGGACATGGAAGGGCAATATATTTCTTTCTTACTAACATTTCCATTATCAAGGATCCGGGCAGAAAAGTTACAAAAGACTAGAAATTTGCAAATCCTTCCAACAAAAGCCAAACTAGAATAGCATGGAATTTTCCCACTACTAAAGTTACCATTGGAGATTACTCTAGCCTCAGTTTACAGTGAGTCGCTGTAATCACAGCACATTACTGCATACTGCTATCTTAGAGTTGTGGGCTCACTGTTTCCCAGAAGCTGTGATAAACTTGGAATATCATGAAGAGATCATGAGATCTCAGGTCTTGGGACTATGCCCCGCTCTCACTGGGGAACCTCATGGCATATCCCTGCCTAAAAAGCATCTACCATCTACCTCCCAAGGCTGCAGAAGCTGACGCCTTTAGCTGTAAGCAGAATGTGGACCTCCTTTGTTTTGTTCTGTAGGAAGCAAACAAAATGGGCTGAACCGTGCATAATTCCACCCTCAACAGGCCAGTTATACAGATTTGCAGTGGACGCTTTGAGTAGAAAGATGGATAAAGGCTGGCAAGGGGAGGAGAGCGAAAGTGAGGAGAGAGCTGTTTCCTGGAGCAAGGTGAGGACAGGCCAGTGAGATCTGTGAGGGAGGCTGGGAGGGAACGTGCTCTCTAGCACCCCTGTGACTGAATTCCCATGTGTTACATGGGTCCGGATTCAAGTCCAAGGGCAAGCAGAGCACCCCCTTAGCTAAATCTGCTTCAGTTAAAGTGGTTCACAATGGAGCTGTGTCACATGTGCTTAGCCTATATTTAGCTATAGCAAGTGCTACAGATGGAAAAGAGCAAGAAAAAAAAAAAAAGCACTAGCCATCTCGTGTGGGCCAATCGTATTGCATTCCACCGGTGAGTGTGAGGAAGTAGGACAGGAGAAACTGGGCAACCATGCCTCCTGGTGTTGGGGGTGGGAACGGAACGTGCCTCACGGTACCAATGTGATTCTGGTGTCTGGAGCAACATATGGCTCGTACAAGCTGATCCTCATACGACAGCCGGCCACTTCGTCTGGTGTTCGGCTGCACAATCTGTGTGCTACTCCAAACCTGGGAGACGAGCATCTGTGCTGGCCATCGTGAGAGACCGCGTCCAAAGCGGTCCCTGCCAGGGACTCAGGAGCAACACACACAGGACCTTTGCTAACCCCGCAACTCTAGCCAACAAGTCGAGCTTCTCTGCTTCTCAGTTTGCTTCTGCCCTCTCCTTTCCAGGTGTGAGGCTCTTCCTACACTTCTCTCATACCTCAGCCTTCAGTCCTATCCTCCTCCCTCCGTCCTCTGGCCCTCTGCTTCCCAGATGAGCCCTCCAATCACACCCACCCACAGTGCCTGTGCTTGGCTGGGCCATTCCGATGGTGACTCGCCATTCACCACCTGCTGCTACATCTTCCCATCATGCTTCCCAACACTTATTTCACTATTCTGGCGAACTTCACCTGTCAGCCTCTAATTGGGTATCCCACTGCACCTGACCAGTAGAGGTTACCAGCACAGGTTCTAGGTTGGAATCCTGCCCCTGCGCCCCGCTGACCTTGGGCATGTCACTGTGACTAAAAGCAGGGACCAGTCAGCTCCTTTCCTGCGTGGGGAAGCAGGCAGAAGTGAAAACTCACAAACGCTGAAGGGAGGAAGAGGACCCCGAGCTCGTAGGAGCGGATCATCAGCTGGGTGCCGTTCTTCTCCAGGGCTCCCCACGCGGCCTTGGATAGATTTGCGCTGTGGAGACAAGGACGCAGAGAGGCCTGACTCAGTGAGGGTCGTATGTTCACAGCTGCAGGGCCATGGGTCAAAAAATACATAGCTATAATCACCTCGATTCAGTTTCTAGCAGAGTTGTGGCATTTCTGAAAAGGGACTCTACTTCCTCCTGTGCTGTAATCCTTAGGATTTATCGAATTGCTAATTTGGGACAGTTTCATCCTCATCTGCATTTTCCCTTGAGGGCAGCTATTAAAATAATTATCTTTCCTTAGAAAAAATTTTGGTGGAGTCTAATATCCTTTTTCTTTTTATAAGATGGGTGTAGATAAGATTCTGGTTTTGTTATATATAAAAGCATTTAAGAGGAGGCTGAGGCAGGAGGATCATTGTGAGTTCGAGGCCAGTCTAGGCTACAAAGTAAGCTCAAGGCCAGCCTGAACTGCAGAGCAAGACCCTGTCTCAAAAAAGACCAAAAAAAAAAAAAAAAAAAAAAAGCATTTAAGAGGATTAGGGGGATGGCTCAGTAGAGCACTTATCTAGTATGCGAGAGGCCCTGGGTTCAATCCCCAGCACCATCCCAAACAAACACTAGCATTTAAGAAAAAAAACACATGTTAACATCATGTACAGGAGTATCCTAAACTTCCTATCTTTTTTTGCCCCACTCTTTTTGCCCAGGTAGTGCTAATTCCTGCTTCCAACTGGAAGAAAGTAGTTCTGAGGACTCTAGATTGGTAATTCTATCCAGAAAGAAATGGTGTTTAGAACCATGTTTTACACAAACATTTGTGGACATGGCTAAAAAAAGGATCACAGTGCAGCAGAAGGAAGGACACTAGGAGTGAAGCATATAAACGTACATCAGTTCTCACATGTGGATGCTAAAAAAGTTGACACTGTGCCAGTGGAAAGTAAAAGAGTGGCTGCTCGAGGCTAGCAGTTCGGCAGGGCAGAGTGAAGTCTGATAACTGCACTAACTTAAGTACTAATGTTTCGCAGTAAGCAGATTGACTACAGCTTACAACAACTTCTCACACCTTTTATAGAGAACCAGGAGAGAAGCTGGGCATGGTGGCACATGGGTGTAATCCCAGCACTTTGGAAATTTTTTTTTTTTTTGGAACCAGGAATAGAACTCAGGACCTTGCGCTTGCCAGGCAGGCACTTGTGCCTCTGAGCTATATCCCCAGCCCAATCCAGCACTTTGGGAAGCTCAGGCATGATGGCTGAATGTTTGAGCCCAGCCTGGGCAACTTAGCTACTTGAGGGGATCCTATCTCAAAAAAAAAAGTGAACAAGGGCTCGGGATGTAGCTCAGGGAGAAGGCTGTGGGTTCAATCCCTGTGCTGGTGTGGGAGGTGGGGTACACACTCTGGACCTCAGGAATGGAGACTCTAAGCCCCTGGCACTGTTTGAGGCTCTTTTTTTAAAAAAAAACTGCAAATGCCACAGAGCAGTCTCATCAATTAATGTAAACTCACCACAAGCCACTTTTTTCCCTCCAATTAGGCTTATCCTAATGTATTCCATTTTTTAAAAGTTTAGTAAAATCTGAGCCATTCAGAGCCCTTAGCCTGGCGTGTGGATAACAGAATCTTTCAAGATTCACTGCTGAGTGCATCACCTTCCTTCTGGGTGACATCAGCACTGCTGAAACAGCCGAGTCAAACCAAAGCAAGTATCAAGCGAGATGAAAAGAATGACCTCCATCGAGGGCTCCATAGGAGCACAGCGAAGAATGTGGAAATCAGCGAAGAAAACGCTTAAAGTGATTATGCTTGCTTTAAAAAAGAGTGTGTTCATGCACCTTCCTGCCTTCCTAATTGGACCACAATAAAGGTAGGGAACTATTTATGATGCACAGGGACCATGATCATGAACGCCATTGTCACTGTCCGAAAGAGATGGAAAATGCAGAGGAAGAGAGATGCTTATGAGAAAGTGGAATTATGACTTGAGGGAAAAATATTTTCTTTAAATAAAAGTTCAACAAGGGCCAGGCATGGTAGTGCACACCTCCCAGCACCCGGGAGGCTGAGGCAGAAGGATCACCGAGTTCAAGATCAGCTGGGGCGACACAGTGAATTCAAGGCCAGCCTGAACTACAAAGCAAGACTGTCCCCCCCTCCAAACAAACAAACATCAGGAAAGCTCTTTGCTTTTAGGGTTCTCACATGTTAGTCCTAAAACTGAGAAGTTGGAGTATTGCTCCTATGACTTTCTCTCACTTCTAGATCAGCACTGCCCGTGGGGAACCCTCTTAACTGTCAGCCCAGCACCCGCAGGCTGGAATACCTTCTGCAGGACTTGCTCTCATCATTCCCCACAGGATGCATTTCCTCCATACTCCAAGGTCTGAGCGCTTATTCTACAGTAAAGCTCAGTGCAGCCCATGGGGACTCCTTTGTAGGTGGCTTCCTCCAACCCCTCCTTTGGAACTGGCTTCTAATAGAATTTGAAGTATCTGGAACCTTAAAAACTCTAGGGTGAATACTGAGAGACTGAAAGCCACTCAGAGGTTGTCTAGGTGACAAATCAACATCCCCTGAAATATCATCTGCAATAATTTTCTATATTCTGAGTAATACTCTGAATCACTGGCACCTGGGGCTTCCGAGAAGATGGGATTGCATTTCCAAACTGACACTGCCTGCTCCGGGTGTGGGTGGTAAGCGGACCGTGTATCTTCATGCACAGTAAATGGCCTGATGTCTTTCATAAGGCACAGTGACACCACAGGGCAGCTTACAAAGACTTGCTGCTGCTCAAATGCCAGAGGAGTTCTAGCTTCTGTTCTCCACTCAGGATCTGCCTCCATCAAGAGCAGATGCCCCACACTGTCCCCTGCCCTGTCCTTCCTGCCATCTTCTGTCACCTTCTGGGCCAGCTGCTCTGTCCCCCAGCGCCCCGGTGTAGTCTATTGTTAATGGATGTTACATGGTGGCTTCAGCACTAAACAGGGGACACTTCATTTATCTTGATTCTTTCAGGAATGGAGCAACTGTGTAAGATGGGGAAGTCTAGAGGGTGGGATTCTGGATGACACATGTTCTACTGTCTGCCGAAAACTCTGCCTAAGCAACTAATGAAGTGATAATAAAACAGCGGCTTTTGGGGGACAGAGGTATGCCAGTCAGAGAAATAGAACTAAAATATCTATCTATCTATCTATCTATCTATCTATGTACCTATCGCAGGAATTTAACATTATACAATGGTGGGAGCTGGTCAAGCAGTCTTTAGAAGACTGTTCCCTTTGTCCTGATGCTGAAACTAGATGTCTACAAGGCCAGCAGAAGCCAGAAGAAGAAAGGCTAAGTGGGAAGCAACACAAACGGAAGCCCATGAGGACAGAAGGCTGCCAGCAAGTGTTGTCTCTGGCACCGGGAGTGTGCGTGTCTTATGGAAAGAGCTCCTTCATCACAGAGCTAAATATACATACACATCTGGTGATGGCCAGGCGTCAGAGGGGCCGCAGGGGTACCTAGGGGAGGGTGGAAGGTCCAGCTGTTGCCTCATGCCAGCAGAGTGAGCTAGCATACAGTGATGGGCACACTAAAAACAGCAGCTGTCTGACATTTGTCCTCCAAATATCTCCTAAGAATCCCTCTTGGAACCCACCCTAATCACAAACATGCAAAGAAGGCAAGTCTAGAAAGAGCAGTTCAGCCTAGCCAGGTCGGCCCATTACCAAGTGTGTGGACTGTTTGCATTAGTGAGTTGAAATCTGAAGCCCTGGGGCAATGCGGCAGGTGATTAGGTTACGAGGGTGGCGCCTTCATGAATGACAGTCTCACTCCAGAGCTGCCTCGCTCTCTTTCTACCATGTGAGGAAGGGTAGACATGACAAGGAATCAGCCATTCAGAGCCCTTAGCCTGGCCTGGTGGATGACAGAACCTTTCAAGATTCAGTGATGAGTGCATCAGCTTCCACCTGGGTGACGTCAGCGCTGCTGAACAGCAGAGTCAAACCAAAGCGAGTATCAAGTGAGGTGAGAAGAATGATCTCCACGTCTGCAATCTGGAAGGAGGTCTCGGCAGCACCCAACCAGGCTCCACCCTGACCATGAACTTCCTATCTCCAGAACTGTGAGAAATAAATGCCTACCGTTTACAAGCTGCTCAGTCTATGGTACTTTGTACAGCAGCCCACATTGAAAAGGATACCAAGCTACTACAGCTAAGCTAATGGTCAGTTGTTTAATTAAACACTTTATAGGGCCCTTGCTTATAAAGAGCACAGATGGTGGTAGGTTAGTCTGCTATAGTTCTTCAGGTGTGGGTGCTAATTACAAGTTTGCTCTCAGCCCACAATATGAAAATTTTGTACTGAAGTTTACACTTTTAAGAGCATATGCTATAGTGTATAGCCAAAAACTTTCTAAAGGAAATCTCAGGGAGGTGTAGAAATGTCATACAAGGTACGTGGAAAAGAAAGGAAGGCAAAGGCTGAGAAGAGCCCTGGGCCCTGATCGGGGTACAAGGTTCTGTCCCTACTTCCTCACCGACTGTGGCTCCCTCAAGCCACTCCTCTTCTCCTGGGCTTCAGATTCTAGAACGAAGACCATTAGCATAAGACCAAAAACCTCTTTCCAGACAAGAGTCTATGAGGCCAGAGACGCTCAGTTCACATCTAAGTGGAGTGCTCCTCTTGACCCCAAAGAGAAAATTCCTGGCTTCACTGGGCACCCCTGAGCAGTGCTCATCTGAATGCGCATGATGACACAGTGGGGCAACAGCTGTGCAGAAAAACAGCTGGAGCTACAAGATGCTCTCAGTGCCAAACCTTGCTCTGTGCATTTTTAGCTTCTTTATTTGGGTCTATCATTCATCTAAAATTACTTTTGTTCACTTAATGTCTCAAATTTATTTATTTTATGCATGTCTATCCAACTGCAGTAGCACCATGTTTGAAAAGAACATTCTTCATTCAGGTACGTTGCTGCCCATGTTGAAAATCTGATGCTAGTGTCTATTTCTGTAGTCTCTTCTGTTCTACTGATGGTTTTATATAT